AGGGAGCTGGAGGATGAGAACGGCTACCGGCCGCCCGCCTCGGCCGTGCCCGGCGCCGCCCCGGCCCCGCGGGACCCCCGGCCCACCGGGCGCCGGGACGCGGCCCCGCTGCCGTCGGGCGTGGCCGGGGGCAGCCCCACGGCCTGGCCGCGGCCCGGGGAGCGGGGCCAGCCCGACAACGGCTCCGAGTGCCGGAGCGGGTACGTGCGGCACAACAGCTCCTGCCGCTCCCTCTGCGACCTCGTGCCCAGCTACTGCCACAACGGCGGCCAGTGCTACCTGGTGGAGAGCCACGGGGCCTTCTGCCGGTAAGGACGGGGGCCCTGGGGGGGCTGGGGGACATGTGGGGGCTCGCCACCCCTGGGCACCCCATCCCTAGGCTCTCCGTCCCCTGTATCCCATCCCGGGGCTCTCCATCCCTGGGCATCCCCTCCCTGGGCTCTCCATCCCCTGTACCCCGTTCTCAGTCTTCCCATCCCCATGTAACCCGTCCCTGGGTTCTCCATCCCCGTGCATCTCATTCCCAGTCTTTCCATCCCTTGTTTACTCCATCCCCAGTATCTCCATCCTCCATGCACCCCATCCCTGACCTCTCCATCCCCCTGTACCCCATTCCCAGGCTCTCCAGCCTCTGCCCCTCACCCAGGTCCCTCCGGCCCCGCATCCCGATCCCGCCGGGACGCGGAGGGGTTTCCCTGCCCCCCGAGCGGCGGCTGGGCAGGAATTAGGTCAGGGCTGTGCAGCCGCGGCTCCGGGGCGGCCGCGCTAATCGGCCCCGGCAGATGCGCCGGGGAGGCCGGTGCCGCCTGTGCCGCACGGATCGGGACGCGCCCCGCGCCTGGCACCGAGCCCGGCCCCGCGGGGGTCCCCCCAGCCCTGCTCCCGCTGCTCCCGGCGCTGGGAACCCTCGGCGAGGGGGACCAACATCAGTGGGGGACCCCGACCATGCTGGCCCCCAGTGTCCCCATCTCACTCAGCCCCGGTGTTGTGGTGTCAAACCTCCATCCCTGGGGACATTTAGCCCCCAGATCTCCATCCCTGGGGACATTTAGCCCCCAGATCTCCATCCCTGGGGACATTTAGCCCCCAAATCTCCATCCCTGGGGACATTTAGCCCCCAAATCTCCATCCCTAGGGACATTTAGCCCATCTACCCCTCAGCTCCAAGGTCCCCCTCGGGGACCCATTAATCTCCTCTCTCCCAGACACCCGTAATCCCCCCGATTACAGACGCCACATCCCCCGAGGACGCTCTGAGGGACGGGGGGGACACGTTTTGGGGCGGGGGTCCCTGACGGCGTGCCCCGGCAGGTGCAACACGCAGGACTACACGTGGCACAAGGGCACGCGCTGCGAGTCCATCGTCACCGACTTCCAGGTGATGTGCGTGGCCGTGGGCTCGGCCGCGCTCGTGGTGCTGCTGCTCTTCATGCTCACCGTGTTCTTCGCCAAGAAGCTCTACCTGCTCAAGACGGAGAACAGCAAACTGCGCAAGACCAAGTGAGTGGCGCGGGGAGGGGACGGCGCTGCCGCCCCCCGCGCTGCCCCCAAGGTGTCCCCAAACAGCCGCGGCGGGGCCGGGCTCAGCTCCCGGCATCGCGACGGGGCTGGGCGCGATCCCGTCCCTGCGGGGACAGCGCTGGCACCCCTCAAAATGTCCCCAGACCGTCCCCAAACAGCCGCGGCGGGGGGTGGGCTCGGCTCCCGGCAGTAGCACCAGGGCTGGGTGTGATGCTCTGTCCCTGTGGGGACAGTGCTGGCACCCCCCAAACTGTCCCCAAACGCCCCGACAGCCGCGGCGGGGGGGTGGTCAGCTCCCGGCGGGACGCGGTCCCATCCTTTGGTGTCACCGGGACCCCCAGTGCCGGTGGGGACACGGTGACGTGTGGGTGGGAAAGCTCCCGGAGGCGGGAGCGCGGCGGGGCCAGGGATGTGGCTCCTGCTCCACGGTTAATCCTTTAAAGCTGCTCCTGACTGGCACCAGTTAATCTGCTGCTCTGGGAGCTGGGGACACCGGCTGGGCTCGCCGGGAAATGGCCCGGCTGCGGACGCGGCTGGGGGAGACAGGGAATGGTTGGGTCACCCCCCCGCCGCGGCCACTGCTGCCCAGCTCCTGGAACAAGGAGGAGGGAGCCCTCCCAGCCCGGTCCCTAATGAGCTGTTAATTAGTGTTTGGAAGTGCCAAGTGTAATTAGCAGGGAAGCTCCGTGCCAGCCCCTGGGTCTCCCTCTCCGGCCCTGGGAGCGGCAGCTCCCGCTGCCCCGGGCTGCCCTTCCCGCTCCCTGCCCAGAGCGGGGGTCACCCCAAACCCCCGGGGACGGGGGCTCTGAGCCCCCCAAAATGTCGCACTGAACTCATTTAGTCCCAAGTCTCCATCCCTGGGAGATGGAGATCCATCTAGGATCTCTATGGGTAGCCCCCAGAACTGGGAACTTTTAGCCCCAGACCTCCATCCCTGGGGACATTTAGCCCCCAAACCTTAGATCTGGATGCATTTGACCTCCACAAACCCCCTTGTTTTGGGGCATTTAGCCCCCAGATCTCCATCTGTGGGGACATTTAGCTCCTAAATTCACACCGATGGAGACATTTAGCCCCCTAAAGCCCCCAGATCTGGGGGTATTTAGTTCCAAACCTCCATCCCTGGGGACATTTGCCCCCCAGACCTCCAGCACTGGGACCAGTTACCCTCCCAACACGGGGGTCACCCCAGGGGTGCGGGGGGTGCTGGGGGGTCCCCACTCTCAGCCCGTGCCCTCCTGTCCCCCCGCAGATACCGCACCCCGTCCGAGCTGCACAACGACAACTTCTCCCTGTCCACCATCGCCGAGGGCTCCCACCCAAACGTAAGGAGCTGCGTGGCACCGGCCCCCGTCCCGCTTCCCGTCCCGCTTCCCGTCCCGCTTCCCGTCCCGCTTCTCGTCCCACCCTCCACCCTCTGCCCGGTAACGTCTCGCCCGTCCCCCCTCCCCGATCCCAGCACTGCCCCCCTGTCCCCATCCTGCCAAGGCCACTGCTCTGTCCCCTTGCTGTCGGGTCCCCAGTGACCACCCTCCAGAGTTCCCGATGGCTTTGCCCCGTGTGCGGGTGGCAGGGCTGGAATTTCCAGGGCGGGCAAGCCGGGCTGTCGTGGCTCTGGCAGCGGATCCTCCCCGGCTGTGGCATCGCCGGCAGGAGCAGCGGATGGCTCCGGTGGCAGCGGGTGATGCTGGAGGGTGACACGCTCCGGGATGCTGCTGCTGTGGTCGGGGTGCAGCCGCCAGCATCCCCCGGGATGCCCGTCCAACCTCCTGTCTTTCGACTCGGAACAGAGAGAAGCGAAGGGCTTTGCGGAGCCGGAGGAGGAGCGTAGGTCCCTCTAAGCCATTCCCTATCCACGGTGTTCCCACCTTCCGACGCCTTTAGCAGCCGTAGCTGCCCTGACAGGAGGCTCCCGGGGCCGGCTCCCACTGCTGAGAGGATGAACCTTGGGATGGATCCGGTGTCGCTCCCGGCATCTCACCGGGGTCTGACTCGTCCCTCGTCCCTCCGAGATGTGGAGGGTTTGGCACATGGTGTAGCACACTGAGGATGCAGAGGGATCAGAAGGAGAAACACCCCTGGGAAAGGGGTTTTTGGGACCCCCCGGTGGTGCCCATCCCATGGGGAGCTGATGGCACCAGCCCCGACTGGCTGGACGTCGCTGCCCAGGAGCTGGAGGTTCCCGTCCTCGTGTGACACCACCCTCGGTGTCCCTGTCCATCCGTCACTCTCCGTGTGGCACCAGGAACACCGTAACCACCACGCCCGTCCTGCCCTGGCAGCCCCCCGTGCCAGGGCTCATCCTGCCCCACCAGTGCCAGCGGTGCCAGCGGGACCCTCCGGGCACAGCCGTCCCCCGGCACGGCCGGAGCTCAGCCCCGGTGCCGGAGGGGCCGCTCCCCCATGGATGTGGGACAAACTCGGGGCACAGCCCAGCCCCGGGGAGGGGAAGATGCTCCTGGGGGGGGCATGGGGAAGAGTGTCCCCGGCTTTGCCAGCGGCACGGCGGGACCAGCTGTACCCTGAGGATCCGCAATAAATCCAGCCCCTCTGGCCTCCTGCCAGGCCGGGAGTTGCTCATTGTCCATGGGATGAGCCGGGCTGGGAATGGGACGAGGAACTGGGTGGGGATGGTGGCTGGGATGGCTGGGTGGGATGGTTCCCGTGGCTGGCACAGGCTCCCATTGCTGGCACGAGCTCCTATGGCTGGCACAGCCTTTGGGGCCTTTTGGGAACTGGAGCATCCCAGGGTGGGGGAGCCGTGGCGGGGCACGGCCACGTGTCACCACAGGTGGGTGGGACCCTCTCGCCCACCGGGTCCCCCGTGCCGAGGTGTCCTCTGGGTGGGGGGACATTTGTCCCCCCCAGTGTCTCCCTGCAAGGGCAGCGCCCGCGTTGGGGTCGGTGGGACATCGGTGCCCTCACCCAGTCCCTGCTGTGGGTCACCCCCCGGCCCCAGCACCCCCTGACCCCCGTCTCTCCCGCAGGATGATCCCAGCGCTCCCCACAAGCTGCAGGACTCGCTGAAATCCTGCCTGAAGGACGAGGAGCCCTTTAACATCCACAACTCGACGTCGCCCAAGCACGACGGCGGCAAAGGGGAGCAGGACGGGGGGGAGCTCAACTGCCTCCAGAACAACCTGACGTGAGGGCGAGGAGGAGGAGGAGGAGGAGGGAGGGGAGGGGAGCCACGCTCCCCCCCTGCACCCCCAGCCGTGCCCTCCCGCTGTCTCTTTTCCCGTGGCATGCTTTGGTGTGTTTTGTACAGAGGAAAACAGAAATCCCGGTACTAATTCGGCCGTGTCGTGGGGGTGTTTGGTCCGTGCTCCGTGTTTCTCGCTTGGGTTCGTTCCGCGCTGTGATTTCTAAACCTTTGCCGTCCCCGCAACTGACTTTTTTTGTACTTTTGCCCCACTTTTTTTGAAATACAGGTAAAAACGACAAAAAAAGGGAAAAACAAAAAAAAAAAAAGGAAGATCTTGAAATAATAAATAAACCATTTTTTTTTTTAAAGTTAAGGCTCTTGCCGGTGCCTGCGATCTCCCGGCGTGGACACGGTGGGGATCGGTCCCTGCTTCCACAGGGTCCCCTCTGAGCGTCCCCCAGGGGTGGTGGGTGCCCGGTCCCCCCTCCTCACCCTCTCCAGACACCTCCCCAGCTCTGCCAGGCCAGGAGTGCAGCACGTCCTGCTGCCATCCCAGACACGCTCCGCAGCAGATGGGACACCCCGGGGTGTTTGGTGGAGGTGTCTGGGCTGCTCCAGGGCCTGCCCCATCCCCATCCCCATCCCTGTCCCCACTGTGGGTCCCCCCAGCCATGGGGGTGCACATGGGGTGACAGCTCCCAGCCTCTCCTGCCCCAAGAGCTGCCCAGGGTGTCAGTGGGACTTTGGATGAGACCCCCCAGGGTTGTCACTCCCCAGCTCCGTTTCCATCCCCTCGGAGAAGAACTGGCACCGCTGTGGTTGGGCTGGTCCCATCACCATCCCCTGGCACTGGGCATGGAGCAGGGATCTCTCCCCAGGGAACCCCAGCATTCCCCCCACCCTCCCCTCTGGCCGTGGCTCCGTGTTGCTTCCCACAGGAACCGATTTCTTCTGGAGAGGGATTCAGCCAGGAGCCAACGCTCCCGGTTCCTCGGGGGAGAGCACACGAAGCCATTAATCACCGGGCAATATGAAGTGTGTGGCACAGCAGGGATGCAGCCACAGCTCTCCCGGGGCTCTCCCAGCCCTCTCCTGGCCCTCTCCCGGGGCTCTCCCGGGGCAGGTGGGAGCCAGAGCCGCAGCTCCGCGTGGATTGGGTGTTCCTGATGTGTCCTGTGAGCTGCTAAATAATTAATTCTCGGCTCACTCGGGGAGATTAAAAAATGAGGAGCAGTGGTGGGAGCCGGCAGTGGATCCCGGGAGTCACGGGAAGCGGAGACAGCGGCTCCCCGGCCCCGTCGGGGTTTGGTCTGTGCCATTCCTCTCCCAGCACGGAGCTGTGGGACAGCTAAAACCATGGACACAGCAGTAAAAGAGGGTGGGGTGGGGCAGAGCAATGTGCTGGTGGAGCAGGAGCTCAGCTGAGCAGAGGGGAGATGCTGATGTCCAAGGAAACGCCTGGAAAGGTGGGATATCCTGGCACAGGCAGAGGCTGGGCACGAGCTTCCCGTGGGACTGGGAGGGAGGGAAAGGGGGCTGGGGAGGGATGAGCATCACTGTGACAGCAGGGAGAGGATCTGTGCTGTGCACGAGGAGCGAGGGGAGAAGCAATGGTTATGGATGGGTAAGGATGGGGGTGTTGGAGGGGATCGGGAATCCGGGAATGACGTGGGTTGTGGGTGAGGAACACCTGAGGGGATGCAGGGAAGAGGACAGAAGGGGAGGGTACCCCTCACCTCCAGCTGCCCTTGGAGGGGCTGGCAGGGTGGGGTGCAGGGAGAGGCGGGATGGGGCAGCCAGGGAACGAGCACAACCACGGAACACACGGCTGGATGGTGGGATCTGGAAACCGTCTGCTCCTTGTTGGGATTCTTCCTCATGGTGCCTGTGGGTCCACCTGGACACTGCCTGGAGAGAGATCCATCATGGATGGTGTCACCTGGGAGGTGAGACTGGCACAGTGCAGCTCCTCCATCACGGACAGTGTCACCTGGGAGGTGAGGGTGACACCTGGGAGGTGAGGGTGACACGGCACAGCCCCTCCTTCCCAGCACAGCCCCTCCATCCCAGACCTCTCCTGGCCCCACACAGAGGTGCCCACCTTGGAGTGGTGCCCACCTTCCCCTGCCACCCGGGTTTGCCCCTTTTGAGGAGCCCACGCACGGCCAGGGCGGGCAGTGGTGGGAGCAGCCCCTCTGCAGAGCCGGGGGGGGACTCCTTGGAGCAGCCCCTCGTTTTGGGATGACCAGTGGAGGAATCCCAGGGACCAGAGCCATCCTCGGCTGCAGCCACTCACCCCATGGGCTGCAGGGACTCACTGGGATTCGGGACAAAACTGGGGCACAGGGATTTAAGCAGGTCTAGGGGTGCTCCCGTGTTAGGAGCACGGGGGGATTTGTCCCCCTGCCCCCCCATTCTGTCACCCCCACAGTTCCCCCCGGCTGTTCCCGCTCCGTCAGACCCCACTCACCTGCCCCGAGTGCTCCTGTTTCCCGTGGGAAGGCACAGCCTCCGTTCCCTGTGTCACCCCGGGAGTCACGAGCCCTGGAGCCCCACGTGGCTCTGGGGTCAGTGTCCCTCGCTGTGCCTCAGTGTCCCCCGGAGGTGACGGCCTGTTCCCAGCCCGTGGGCCCTCATCCCACGCTGGCTTTCCCAGATGCAGGGAGGAGCATGGTTTGGAGGGATTCCCCAGGGCCAGGGCTCCCCATCAGCAGGGAGAGCGGGGCACAGTGAGGAGCAGGCACAGTGAGGAGCAGGCACAGTGAGGAGCAGGCACAGTGAGGAGCAGGGACAGTGAGGAGCAGGCAGAGTGAGGAGCAGGCAGAGTGAGGAGCAGGGACAGTGAGGAGCAGGTACAATGAGAAGCAGGCACCGTGAGGAGCAGGCAGAGTGAGGAGCAGGCACAGTGAGGAGCAGGGACAGTGAGGAGCAGGCAGAGTGAGGAGCAGGCACAGTGAGGAGCAGGCAGAGTGAGGAGCAGGCAGAGTGAGGAGCAGGCACAGTGAGGAGCAGGGACAGTGAGGAGCAGGGACAGTGAGGAGCAGGCACAGTGAGGAGCAGGCACAGTGAGGAGCAGGGACAGTGAGGAGCAGGCAGAGTGAGGAGCAGGTACAATGAGAAGCAGGCACAGTGAGGAGCAGGCAGAGTGAGGAGCAGGCACCGTGTGCTGTGCCGGGCACCGGAGCCGACTCCACGGGCCCTGGGGAGGAATTTGCCTCCCGGCCAGCACAGCAGCACATGGGCTCTGATCACAGGCCTGGTCACGCCGGGCCGGCCGGGCCGGCACTGCCATTAAATTTCAATGCTTGGTTGGTTTGCTGGAGGGGGGGCCGGGCCCATTGTGGCCCAAAGGGCTGGCACGGGACGCGGGAAGGGAGCTGGCATCGGCCCTCCTCGCCCTGTCGTCCTCTTTTCTCTTGCAGACACACAACAGGACCAGAGCCACGACCCCAGACAAGGAGCCTTTTCTTCCCTTGATGAGCTCCGGCTGTCTGGAACAAAATAGCCGGAGTCAGGATTCATCAGCTGAGTCCCGATTCACAACCGAGTCCTGATTCACAACCGAGTCCTGATTCACAACTGAGTCCCAATTCACAACTGAGTCCTGATTCACAACTGAGTCCTGATTCACAACTGAGTCCCAATTCACAACTGAGTCCCAATTCACAACCGAGTCCTGATTCACAACTGAGTCTCAATTCACAACCAAGTCCTGATTCACAACTGAGTCTCAATTCACAACCGAGTCCTGATTCACAACTGAGTCCTGATTCACAACTGAGTCCTGATTCACAACCAAGTCCTGATTCACAACCGAGTCCTGATTCACAACTGAGTCCTGATTCACCACCCAAGAGTCCCGGTGCACCAGCTGAGAGTCCAGACTCACTGACCAACCATCCCAATTCATCGGCTGAGTCCTGATTCAACATCCAAGAGTCCAGTTCCCCAGCCAGGAAGGAGGGGAGAAGGGCTGGCAGCAGCAGTGCCATGGTCCCTGTCAGCCTGTGCTCAGTGCCCTCGCTGCAGGACGCTGCTCCTGGGGGATCCCAGGTTTGTCCATCCCTCCCTGAGCTGCCTGGAGCTGGCAGAGCCATGTCTGTCCCTTGTGCCCTTCTAGACACCCTGACACCCTGTCCTTTGGTCCCACACCCTTTCCTTTGAGGAGCATTTGGAAGATGGGTGTCTCCTTTCCCCTGATCGGTTCTCCTGTCCCGTGTCCTCCACAGTCGGGCTCCCTCTGTGGCTGCAGCCCAGACAGCTCCAATCACACACATCTAAACGTGGTGGATGAATCCCACCTGTGCTGTCCCACCTCCAGCCTCCAGCCCACAGGGAAAGGAGGGGCCATTCCCAAACCCTTTTGGACCATCCCTGGGAGCTGCTCTGCCCACCCTTGGCACAGGAGCGTTACATGGGGAGCTCTGGGATGTTCCCAGTGACCCAAAGGCAGGTTTGGGAGGAGATGTGTCCTGTAGGTCACTGTGGGAGCATCTCTGGTGACATCTAGGTGTTCCCACCATCACTGAGCTGCCTCCTGGCTTGTAGGAGCCCTTCACTGGTATTTGTGTAGCCAGAAAGCACCAGGATCTCAGCATTCAGTGATGGGAAATACCAATTACTCCATTACTTTCAGTCTGGCTGGAACTGGGAGTGATTCCAGTATTGAACTGACTCTGTGTTGGATTTAAAGGGAGGAGAAATGCAAAATCCTCTTAATCTTCATAAACTGTAAAATGCCCAGTGTGGGAACGACGAGCTGGGCATGCACTGGGATGGCCTCGACCACAACAGCTCCTGGGTGTCTCTGGCCAGCACAGCACTGGGGAACTGGTTCTGCTGGGAGAGGAAGGCAGTGGGGCACTGGCAGCGATGGCAACCAGCCACCAGCCACCCGTTTGGAACGTAAAGGCAGGAGGAAAATTGCCTGAGACCGAGCGTGGAGCGAGCGAGTTCACGGCCCTCGCAGAGGGACGCGGGAGAAAAGGGAAAAACAAAGACAAGGGACGCCGGGACACTTGGAGAAGTGGGATCTCATGGGAGGCACGTTTAAAAGTGAAAGGAGTTAAGGAAACTGGCAGGGCTTCAAAGGAAGGCTGCAAACAGCACACACGGGGCCATCCCAGCAGGAAACACGGCAGGAACCAGCCGGGCTGCGGAGCCAGCGCCTCGCTGACCTCGGGCTCGGAAAAAAGGGCTCTGGAAAGTGGGAACTGGGTCAAATTACTAAGGACAGTTCCAAGGGGAGCGTAAGCATGTGGGGAGACATCAGAAGGGCCAAATTGAGATGGAAATAGGCAGGAGCCATTAAGAGGAAGAAGAAAAGGCTCCATCGGCAGGAGGAGGACGAGAAGGGAGCGTTGGTCCGGACCCAGGGAAGGGGGAAGACAGCTGGCAAAGGAGGCATTCAAGGGGTTCACTGGTTTGTTTTAAAACCAGCCTTTAAAAAAACCCCAGCCCTCAAAGATGCCAACTGCAAGCAGATGCCCAGCACAATAAATAAGGTGCTGTGCTGCCACCGAGAGCAGCAGCTGCAATAATGACAGTTTGAACAGTGCACTCAGACTGCCCCGAGCACTCCCAACTTCATCCTGTGGCACTCAGAACACCATTAAAGCCTCCTGAGACCTGCTAGGTGGAAACCAGTTAAAGCCACTCCAGGCCTGTTGGGTAGCACAAGGGATGGATGGATAAGGGTTTATAGGAGCAGGCCCAGTTTGGGGCATGTCATGTAAGGAAAGATGGAACCCATGGGAGAAGGTTCAGGGGACCAAGGAGAAAGAGGAGAGATCCAGGAAAGCCAGCAGTGGGAAGTGTGGAGACCTTGGGACCAAAGGAGACAAAGGAACAATCTCTGAAGGACTCTGCAACTCCCTGACGGGAGGGGGGAGCCAGGTTGGGATCAAATTCTTCTCCCAGGTAACATGAGACAGGACAAGAGGAAATGGCCTCAAGCTGTGCCAGGGGAGGGTCAGGTTGGGTATTGGGGAAAATTTCTCCATGGAGATGGTTATCCAACCCTGGCACAGCTGCCCAGGGCAGGGGTGGAGTCCCCATCCCTGGAGGGACTTAAAAGCCCTGTGGATGTGGGCTGTCCCACCCCTGGAAGTGTCCCAGGCCAGGTTGGAACAATCTGCTCTAGCAGAAAGTATCCCTGCCCATGGCAGGGGGTGGAACTGGGTGATCCTGGAGGCCCTTTCCCACCCAACCCACTGCAGGACTCCACGATTTAACCTGTGTGTGCAATTTGCATTTATGAAAGGAACCCAGAGCCATCCTGCAGGAGCTCAGTCACCTTTTCCTGGGAGCTACGAAAACGCAGCGTGAAAATACGGTCCTTGTTTAGAGCTGAGAACTGCACAGGGAGGCAGGAGATGGCAGATGGGACAATGGGGTGGGTGGAGGCCCCAGAGCAGCAGTGAGACAACACTGGCTGCCGTGGCAGACTGGGGGGGAGCACCAGGCCAGTCAGACTTGGAGGGGTTTTGTGCAGGCATTGGGAAAGAGGAGATTTCAGAAAGGATTTGGGCTGGGTCAGGGTTATGTTATGTCAGGGTTACATGTGGAGATTCTTCTGTAGGTTCAGAACTCCAGCTCTGCACGGTGGTCCTGGAATACAGACTGGGGGGAGAAGGGGATCCCTGAAGTTGTCTGTGTCGTCCTCAGGCTGCGGAATGTTGTGCGTGGGATCAGTGGGAACAGGAGAGGGCAGGGAAAGAGGAGCTGTGGGAGAGCTCTGTGAGCAGGAGCTGGGAGGAGGAGGAGGAAGCGCTGCTGCAGGAATGGTCAGAGGAGCGAGAGGAACAGCAGGATGGGGAAAAACGAGGAGGAGGAGAGGCTGAAGAGGGTGAGGAGGAGATGCCGGCACAGAGGGTCTGGCAGAGATTCCTGGCGTTAGGGAGCCAAACACCTGGATCTGGGAGAGGGGACAGTGCTTTCCTTGCCTGCTCTGACCCCACGTTGCTCCCAGCCACCCTCAGGACCTCACTGGCTCCCTGCTGAGCTGACTTTGCTGCCAGATCCCTGCTGGTTTCAGCACATTTCCCGGGTATTCTTCAGCCTCTGCTGGAAAAGGCCTGGAGATCCCTCGTGGAGAGCCAGCAGCATTTTGCTTCAGTGGGAAAGTGAATTTTAAAGGTGAGCTGAGAACTGAATCCGAACTGTTTCGTTTCCCTCCCCACTTTCCAAAGGCAGGAGATTATCCCCCACAGCCACAGCCACCCAGCACAAAACCTCTGGATAAACCCAGCCAGGGAGGCCTGGCTGAGACAGGGCATGGGGTGGGAACCCCGAGGTGCTGCAGAGCAGTGCCAGGAGAGGTTGTGGAGCCCCATCCCCGAGGGTTTCCCGGGGCAGGTTGGACAAACATCTGCCAGCACAGGTTGAGCAGGGCGGATTTTTCTGAGCGACCTCTCTGGGCCCTCCGGCCTCGTGCTCAGTGATCCTGCTTTTCTTCCAGCAGAAATGCCAGCCTGGCTCCTCCACCCCTCTGCCAGCCTCTGCAGAGCAGCTCTGTGAGCTCTGTCCTCGCTCTGGGGGCTGACAGTGGCAATTCTCATTTTCTCCTGCATTTCATACTCGTTCCTTACACTGGGGATAAATTTATTTACATGAACACAGACAGGCAAAAATATTTGAAATGGGAAAGAATAAACATCATTGCTGTTTCTGTCATTTACTCTATTTATCTTGTACTTTTCTGTTCCAGTCTTCCATGAAATATTCCAGGACAAGGAATAGCCTGAGGTGAGGATAACTCCAGCCTGGAGGTCTGGCTCCAGGCAATCAGTGGAAGGAGAAAGAAGGAGAAGGAGAAGGAGGAGAAGGAGAAGGAGAAGGAGGAGAAGAAGGAGAAGGAGAAGGAGAAGGAGAAGGAGAAGGAGAAGGAGAAGGAGAAGGAGAAGGAGAAGGAGAAGGAGAAGGAGAAGGAGAAGGAGAAGGAGAAGGAGAGAAGAGAAGGAGAGGAGAAGGAAGAAGGAGAGGAAGAATGAGTGGATCTATGTGATGCTGTTATGTTTTTGTTGGCGTCTTTTATAAGGCAAGGCCACTTTTTTTTTTCTTTTCCCCCACAGCGGGTTGCCCCATTTCACCACATCCTCAGGATCCAAAGCCATACACAGTTTCCCCGTCTCCTCCCTGGTGCTTTATCCCTGCAGCACAACCCAAACTATCCCATGATTTGCAGCCTCAGGGAGTCCCAGGCCAGAGGGTTTGTAAACCCCTGGGGGATGTGG